TTAAAACTTTATTTTATTTATATATAAAATTTGATTTATTAATTTTTATTTTATGTGTATGAGAGTTATGCCTGCATATATGTAAGCACACCCATGTTATGCAATGCCTGCCAAAATGAGAATAGGGCATCAGATACCCTGGAACTGGAGTTATGGAAGTTTGCTAGCCACCATGTCAGTGATGAGATTTGAACTCAGGTTTTCTTCAAGAACAGCCAGTACTCTTAACTGTGGAACCATCTCTTCATCCCCTCCATTGATTTTTTTTTTAAAGTATCATCCTTGACTAAATATCACTTCCGTTTTCTGTAATGTCTTGTAGCAAGAATTTTAAATTCTTGAATTTCAAAGATCATTTATTTGAGAGATAATCTTAAACATTATAGCTAAGAAGTCATACTTTTAACCTTTAATCCTAGAATCCCTGCCAAGCTCATAACTTAGAAGAGAAATCATCTCCTAATATATGTCACAAGTCTCTAGAAGAAAGGGGCAATGTCAGTCCTAATAAAATATTTTAAAACGACATTTCTCCAAAATTTCCAGAAATATATTGCAGCTTTTAACAGGAGAATTTATTTTCTTTGTTCATGTTGCTGTATTTATTTCTTTGTACTATGTTTATATTAATTTAAACTAATGTTTCTTAAAGCACAAGTATAATAATAATCTATCAAACTATTGAATGACTGACTCTAGCTACAAAATCTTTTATCCCAAAGAACAAATGAAAGTATGATTTGAAAGATCTTTCCCACCTCCCACTTCCAGATCCAGTCTCCTGGGGTATTCACATTTTTCTATTTCCATTTTTAATTCTGACCATGGTTAACATAATTCAAAATCGATCGAATCCTCATTCCACTCAGTTCTCACTCTGTATTAACAAGCAACAAAGCAGGATGAGGAATCCAATTACCACATCTCCATCCCTGTGGGTTTTATTTGCTGTGTTATTTTCAATTTTCCTATTGTTTATGTAATGTTAAATAATATAATTAAAATCCCATAGCTCATTTCAACAATTCTAGATCATAATGAAAGTGGATTTTAACTTACATGATGAATTACTGGAACCAAAACTTACTATGTTTTGATAGCTTCATGGCTCTACAGAAACAGGGAGAGAGAAGGGGTCAGCAGGGTGTCCTCAATCCTGAGATTGTTTTGCACTTGGCACTATGACTGAGAAGCTTTAAAAATTGTGGATAAGAAGCAGGGTTTTGTTTGCCCAATATCCAGACACGTTTTGTGATTCCTTAGAATCTCTCTCTGATTGTAGGAAGCAGAATTGGATTGTGGAGAATCCTCCACTTTGAAATGCCTTCCCAGGTCTATGGAGCTCTGCTTGTGGAAAAGCTACTAAGAATTAGCTGGTATAGAGGGAACTAAACAGCTTAACCAAGAGCTGACGCTGACTGGCATGGATTATCTTAAAAATTTTACATGTGCTGTTTACCACTTAACTAACAAACATACTTTTAAGAATGTCAGTTTTTTTTTTTTCAATTAAGAGAAAAACATAAATATTGTACGTAAAGTAAACTGGCTATTGAAAACATGTAAGAAAAAGGGATAAAGATGGAGATGGAAGTGGGAAGTAAGAGACTGTAAGAGGAGAAGATTTTTTTTTGAGAGAGAGAGAGAGAGAGAGAGAGAGAGAGAGAGAGAGAGAGAAGGTGCAGAGAGAAGGGAGAGGCACTGGGAGAGAATTCTGAAAGTTTCCATGAGCATGTGACAGAAAGAAACAGTAAGCACTAACATAATGGAAGAATTTTG